CCCTACGTCTGAAAACTCCAAAACTCATTTGCCTTTTCTCTACAGCATTTGGTGGGAAATTGTCCTTTTGGCACCGTTATCCAACCGCCTCTGACTTTATCTCCACCCTTAAAGGGATTCCTCCCCAAAATAACGCAATTCTGCCGGAGAAGAGAGTATACATCTTCATCCACTACAGCAGACTCCTTGTCCCCAAACTGCAGACTGTGGAGCCCTTGGTCCCCACTGAGTTTGGTTTGCTTGGAGACATTTCATGACCCAACTAGATAACATTGTCAGTGCTAGAAGAGAGAGGAGGAGGAGGAGGAGGACGACGACTGTCGGGTCTCTGGTGCTCTCTGAGCTTGGTTGTTTTCTTAAGACATTTCATTATCCAACTAGGTAACTTCATCAGTGCTCGAAGGGAATGGGGTTTGTGGAGTGGAGAAGGAGGAGAAGGGGGAGAGGAGGAGGAGGAGGACGACAACAACGACAATGACTATGGGGTCCCTGGTGCTCCCTGAGCTTGGTTGTTTTCAAGACATTTAATTACCCAATTAGATGCTAGAAGAGAGTTGGGTTGTCTCCCTATTTATATACAGTCGCTTGCCCTGCCAGTGTTGCTAGGAGAGCGGCTTTTCTCCTCCACAGTCCCTTGATGAGGGTATTGTTTTCTGCTTGATTGTTTGTCTGGGGTTAATCCCTGCTTATCTCACTGGAGAGGATCCGCTTTAGGATCTTTTTCTTTCCTTCTTTTTTTTATTGTTTCTTTTTAACAAACGTGTCAGGGTGACTGATCATATGGACCTGGAGACTGTTCTTATTCAATATATAGAAGAAGAAGAAGAAGAAGAAGAAGAAGAAGAAGAAGAAGAAGAAGAAGAAGGAGGAGGAGGAGGAGGAGGAGGAGGAGGAGGAGGAGGAGGAGGAGGAGGAGAAGAAGAAGAAGAAGGAAGAGGAGAAGGAGGAGGAGAAGAAGAAGAAGAAGAAGAAGAAGAAGAAGAAGAAGAAGAAGAAGAAGAAGAAGAAGAAGAAGAAGAAGAAGAAGAAGGCGTAACTATAGACTCTGTTCTCCTGCAGAATCTGCGGTCAAATGAGACTAATCCTGTCTCTAAAGGAAGACGCTCCATTTGCGGAGAGGGGGAAAAAAAGGCTTGTAATTTCACGGCTCCGACAGAGCAGAAAAGAGAACAAAAGGTTGTGCCACACAACAGCAGGCGACACGGCACAGGCGTGATCAAAGCGCTGGCGGGTCCCCGTGAAGGGAAGGGAGGGGGGCAGCGTGACACCGAGGGGCTGCAGTTGTGACCTTCTCAACACAGATTATGCCTCTGCTGTCAAATTGTATTTTTCATCTTTTTCCTCTCGGCACCCACGGATTTAACCAGAGAGGGGAACGAACCGCCCCTGTAAATCACAGCAGAGGAGGAGAAATTGGCTGGGGATGATGGGAGTCTCGTGGGGATTGGGGAAGATTTGATGCTTCCCACGTCCGATCTGGCGATGACGCCTGATTTGGCCTCTCTTGGGGCGAGACGACGTCCACCACCCTTTCCGGAGAGTTCTCCGGCTGCGCTCCAAATCCGTTTAAGCTCCGCGCGTTTGCAGAAGAAATCCACTTAGAACTGTATATCAAAAATGAGATTTTTTTTTTTCTTTCCAAGCTGGCAGGAGAAATAGGTACGAACGACAGGACAGCGAGTGCTGGGGGGGAAAAGAAAACAGCCAGAGAAGAAATTGAATCTTCCAAAGGAGGAAGACGAAGAAGCAGGAGAAGTAGGGAGAAGGATGAAGAACTGAAAGCTCAGCCTTTGCGAAAGGTTGCAATTACAGGGAGTCTATCATGCCTCCATCGGAGCCTGAATCTGCATCTGCGAAGGAAAATGAGCTGTGGAGGTCGAGGGAGAGCGGTCTGTGGCTTCAGAGGACTGTGGGGAAGAGCAGGCCGAGGCAGGCCAGGGCCCTTCAGGAGTGGGACAGGAGGAACACGAGAGACAGAGTTCAGGCGATGAGCAAGGGCCACCCCCACCTGATCCTAGAGCACGGAGAGTGGAGAGAAGGAGGGAACAACACAGGCTACTCGGGAGGAGAGCATCCCGCCCCCTCTCCACAAGGCACGCCTGGAGACTGAGACTTAAGGAGACCCTGTGGGGAGAGGCATTTGTCGGGAACAAACGCTGATTCCTTGGAGGTTTGTGTGTGTTGTTGCTGATCTCTTGTTCTGTGACTTCTGCTTGGAAACCCGGAAACTCTGACCCTTGGACTGGCTGACAACATCGCTTGGATGTTCAAAGATCTCGGACTGTATTTGGGCTTCCCTTTGGAAACTGCTCAGGCAAGCGTGGATTCATACAGACTCATTAGGTTTATGATGTATGTGTCATTCCTTGTTATCCTCGTGGCCTTGAGTAAATTCCTCTCCTAATCAGGCTGTATGTGAAACTGCTGGCAGCCAGAAGCGGCTGAAGGTGTGTGTTTGTTTGGAGGCTGGCCAGAAACGAGGGAGCATTTGAGGAAAATTAGGAGCAATTAAAGGGTGGTTTGAATTGCCAGCTGACTGCACGGCCTCAGAATCCTCGATTTATGACCACAACTGCTGCACCCGTTGGAAAAACATGCTGGGTTCCCCAGACATGCAATTACATCACCAGAAGGACACTGTGACGGTCGTAAGTGCAAGAATTGGCCCCACCACTTCTTGCTCTTGCATTACTATTATTTAAATGTTCATTCCATTAAGCAAGACGAGTGGTTAGTGAGTGGCGGCCCATTTTACCACCTTTTTTTTAACCACGGTTGTTAAGTGAATCACCGCAGGTATTAGGTGAATCAGGCGGTCATTAAGCGAATCTGGCTTCTCCCATTAGCTTTGCTTCTAAGTGGCCAGCTGGGAAGTTTCCCATGACCCCAAGACACTGTCACAGTCATAAATAAGAGTCTGAATTTTGATCACGTGATCATGGGGAGGCTGCAACGGTCATAAGTGTGAAAAATAGTCGTAAGTCCCTTTTTTCAGTGCCGCTGTAACTTCGAACGGTCACTAAATTAACTGTTTTAAGTCGAGGACAACCTGTAGCAGTGACCAGCCTGGATGACGGGGAAAATGAATGTCTTTTCTGACAGCCTCAGTTGTCCCATCTGTAATATGGGGTTAATTATGCCCGAGGATCAAAATACAGGGAGTCCTTGACTTACAACAGTTCATTTAGTGACTGTTCAAAGTGGCAACAGCACTGACACAAGTGACTTATGACCATTTTTCACACTTGTGACCGTTGCAGCGTCCCTCTGGTCGTGTGATCCAAATTCAGCTGTTTGGCAACTGACTCATATTTATGAAGGTCGCGGTGTCTCAAGGCCATGTGATCCCCTTTCGTGATCTTCTGACCAGGAAAGTCAATGGGGAAGCCAGGCAGTGATTCACTTAACAACTGCGGTAAGAAAGGTCGTAAAATGGGGCAAAACCAATGTCTCGCTTAACAACAGAAATTCTGGGCTCAACTGCGGTCATAAGCCAAGGAACCCGCAACCGTCACAAATACACGCCAGTCGCCAAACGCCCGAATTTTGATCACGTGACCGTGGGGAGACGCTGCAATGGTCGTAAGTGTGAAAAACGGTCATAAGTCACTTTTTTCAGTGCTGCTGTAACTTCAAACGGCCGCTAAATGAAAACTGTCGCATGTCGAGGATTACCCGTACGATATTTGTTGTGAACGTCCCAGAGTCACTTGGGTGAAATGGACAATGTAAAAATTTAAATAGTAGTATTAATCATGCAAGTGAGCCACTGGTGGGGCCAGTCCTTGCACATGCGACCGTCACAGTGTCCTTCTGGTGACGGGACTGCCATTGGGGTGCGTGAAACCGGCCTATCTTTCCGATGGATGCGGCATCTCGAGGGTCACGTGATCACCCTTGGCGACCTTCCCCCGGGGGGGGCTTCCGACCAGAAAAGTCAAGAGGGGACGCTAGATTCGCTTAATGACCACCTGTCTCACTTAATGACTGTGGCGATTGGCTTAACAACCGTGGCAAAGAAGGTGGCTGCCACAAAGAAGAGGGAGTCAAGCTATTCTCCAAAGCCCCTGAAGGCAGGACAAGAAGCAACGGATGGAAACTGGTCAAGGAGAGAAGCAACCTAGAACAGGGATGGCGAACCTTTTAGAGACCGAGTGCCCAAACTGCAACCTAGACGCCACGTATTTATTGCCAGGTGCCAGGTGGCCGTGGCCCACTGGGTGGCGTGGCTGTGGTGGTCATGGCAGATTGGGTGGATGTGGCCAAGGTGGGCATGGTCACCTCAATGCTGCTCGTGGGGAGGGACGCCTGGGCCAGGCAGTTGCTACCTGACACCATCGGCCCCGCACACAGAGGCCAGCGAGCGCATGGGGGCCGATGGTGTCCGTCAGCAGCCACAGCCTGCCAGTCGGACCGGCACCGCCAGCAGTTCAAAGAAGCCATCTCTGAGCTGGACAGCCGGCCAACAGCTGAGGAGGCGATGCAGTGTGTCAAAAGGCCAGGAGGGATGGGATGAGGGGGAGGGAAACCAGCCATGTCTGGGTGTATCCGGCCGCGTGGAACCTCGGTGAGTTAGCAGGCAGCTGGTTGTAGAGGGACAGTTGCCATCTCCGGGCCACGGCGCGAGTGCCCACAGAGAGGGCTCTGAGTGCCGCCTCTGGCACGCGTGCCATAGGTTCGCCACCACTGACCTAAAACTAAGGAGAAACTTCCTGTCAGTCAGTCAGAACAATTAACCAGTGGAACAACCTGCCTCCAGAAGCGTTGAACGCTCCAACCCTGGAAGTTTTCAAGAAGAGACTGGACAGCCATCTGTCTGAAATGGGACAGGGTTTCCTGCCTGAGCAGGGGGCTGGACTAGATGACCTCCAGGGTCCCTTCCCACTTTATTATTATTATTATTATTAAGGTTGCAAAATTGGAGGCGACTCATTTGCGACGCTTGCCGACTGCGGTCGTAAGTCGAGGACCACCTGTCGGACTCCACCACCCCCCCTTACCTGAGCGAGAGGGAATACTCGCTGCGGCTGGCCTTGCTGCTTCGAACCAGGTAACTGCCTTCCCTGCACAGCATCAGGAGTGTCTCGGCTTCAGCTCGGCTGATGGGGCCATGAAACCACCTGCGAATCACAAGAAACCGGAGTCACCTCGGTACGTTCGCCCTGCCTCCCCGTGGTTTTCTCCTCCCTGTGGGAAAAAAGTGGTCTGCACGAACACAAGATCCTTCGGGGAATGTCTGGTGCAGCCTCTCCTCCAGTCGGGGCAATTGCAAACCCTTTGCAATCTGGAGAGCACCAGGTTGGGTAATGGGATGTGAGAATGACTTTGGGGAGGAAGGGACGCTGTCTAGGGCAGAGAGCATCAATCTTTCTCACTTGGCGGACCAGAGGGAAAGGCAGAGGGAAGTCTTTTATAGGTGTGCGTGCGCACGGTGCGCACAGGGCCGCGAGTACGCGCACACCGCAAATGGGGCGAGTGATACTCACTCACCCTGCCCCGTTCTTGTGTGCTGCAGCGCCTTGTGTCTGGGCCCTGTGCCATGACGGTGGCCCGTTTTGGTGCCCCGTGGCATGGTGGCACCCATTTTTGCACCCTGCGGCGTGGCGGTGGCCCGTTTCTGCACCCCACGGTGCAGTGGCATCTGTTTTTTTCACCTTGCAGCATGACAGCGACCTGTTTTCACATCCCGAGGTGTGGTGGCGGCCCATTTTTGTGCCCTGAGGTGTAGTGGCAGCCCGTTTTTGTGCCCCGTGGCACGGCATCCTGTTTTTGTGCCCTGCGCCCAATGCACTAACACAAGTGAAGGGGTGTGCACACACACACGGGCGCCCTGGCCAGCCGACTACCAGGCCGTGGCCCACAGGTTGGGGACCCCTGGTCTAGGGAACAGTCAGATAAGAGACAGCTGAGCCCTCAGCTGCATAATGGGTGGAGAAAGATACTCAGAACAGACTCTCCCTAATTTCTCAGTTTATAAAGGAGGTAAGAGTAGTAGAGAGAAGGTCAGAATAGAGCTGGAAGGGACATTGGAGGTCATGTAGTCCAACCCCCTGCTCAGGCAGGAAACGCTATACCATTTCAGACAAATGGCTGTCCAGTCTCTTCTTAAAGACTTCCAGTGTTGGAGCATTCACTGCTTCTGGAGGCAGATTGTTCCACTGGTTAATTGTTCTCACTGTCAGGAAGTTTCTCCTTAGTTCTAGGTTGCTTCTCTCCTTGATTAGTTTCCATCTGTTGCTTCTTGTCCTGCCTTCAGGCGCTTTGGGAGATACGCTGACCTCCTTAAATACTGGAATACTACTATAATGTCCCCTCTAGTCCTTCTTTTCTCCAGGACTGGCCAAACCCAAATCCTGCAGCCGTTCTTCCTATGTTTTAGTCTCCAGGCCTTGGATCATCTTAGTTGCTCTTCTCTGCCCTTTTTCCAAAGTCTCCACATCTTTTTTGTAACGTGGTAACCAAAACCGGATGCAGGTATTCCTAGTGTGGCAATTTTTGTCGCTAAGTGAGACCATTGTTAAATGGATTTGGCTCCATTTTGCGGTCTTCCTTGCCACCATCGTTAAATGAATCACTGCAGTGGTTAAATTAGTAACGATGTGAATCTGGCTTCCCTATTAAATTTCTGCATGTCGGAAGGTCGCAAAAATTAATAATGTGACTCTGGGAAGCAGCAACTGTCGTAAATATGAATCAGTTGCCAAACGTCTGAATTTGAGATCACGTGATCGTGAGGAGCGCTGCAACGGTCCTAAGTGTGAAAAAGGGTCCTAAGTCACATTTTTCAGCGCCGTGGTAACTTCGAACTGTCACTAAATGATCCAATCTGGGCCGGTCACCGGGACCAGAGGTTTTGCCTTCCAAGCTTTCGGTCACTAAATGAATGTTTGTAAGTCCAAGACTACTTGTAACATGTTTTGAAGGATTATAGAAATGACAAACACTCTATTTTGACTGCGGTTAGAACCATTTTCTCTCCGTTTGGCATTTTTCCCGGCACGATCAAAATGACCATTTTGTTTATCTCCCATTTGCGCGCCGAATCCCGGATAATTTGGTCAATAGCCACTAATGAGAAAAATCACCGGCACAAAAAAATAATTAAAACATCAACAATTTGTGGCAAACGGGACACCAACAATAATTACTTTTGAGCGGTCAATGCACGTCGTGGAATAATATCTATTGAACTTTGTCGGCAAGAGAGAGAAAAAAAAAGAAAAATGGAAGAAAATAAAATTAATGGCCTTTGCTCGGGGAGGGAAACTAATCCAGGAGAGTAGTAACTGTGAGTGGGACCTCAGAGTCCTAGTGTACAATCCCTTAAATAGGAGCCAGCCGTGTGCTGCAGTTGCCAAAAAAGCCAACACAGTGCTGGGCTGCATTAACAGAGGGACAGAATCAAGATCACATGAAGTGTTAATATCCCTTTACAAGGCCTTGATAAGGCCACACTTGGAATCCTGCATCCAGTTTTGGTCACCACAATGTAAAAAAGATATTGAGACTCTAGAAAGAGTGCAGAGAAGAGCAACAAAGATGATTAGGGGACTGGAGGCTAAAACATACAAGAAACGGTTGCTGGAATTGGGTTTGTCTGGTTTAATGAAGAGAAGGACGAGGGGGGACAGGATAGCTGTCTTCCAGTATCTCAGGGGCTGCCGCAAAGAAGAGGGAGTCAAGCTATTCTCCAAAGCACCTGAAGGCAGGACAAGAAGCAACGGATGGAAACTAATCAAGGAGAGAAGCAACCTGGAACTAAGGAGAAACTTCCTGACAGTTAGAACAATTAACCAGTGGAACAAACTGCTTCCAGAAGTGGTGAATCCTCCAACACTGGAAGTTTTTAAGAAGAGACTGGACAGCCATTTGTCCAAAATGGTAGAGGGTTTCCTGCCTGAGCAGGGGGTTCGACTAGATGACCTCCAAGGTCCCTTCCAACATTATTATTACTATTATTATTATTATTATTATTATTATTATTAAATATGGGACCCACACTCAGCCCTATCCCCTCCTGGGCGTCACTTACGCCTGACTCTCCAGAGGCAGCGACAGGTCGATGCGCTCAGCCAGGGAAACGCCGGACTCGGGGCTCTGCAACTGGCCAAACTTGGCAGAGCCCGTCGGGTGCTTCGGCGGACGTGGCCGGTGCTCTTTGGGGGCTGAGGAGGAAGAGGAGGAGGAAGAGGTCCGGTCCCACTCGGGGGCTTCGAACTGCGCTGTGGGAGGAGCAGGACAGACCCTTAGACAGTTGGAGAGGCGTCTCGAAGGAGCCAATGGGCACTTCCCCTGCCAGAAAACGTTTCCTGGTTGGCTAGCAGACTCCCAAAGGGAGGGAAGTAAAAAAAAAGTCAAGATGGCAACTGTGCAAAGCAAGCTCTGCCCATTTCTTACATGCCCTCTGGCCATCGGTTGCCATCTTGGCTTTTTGTGCACACCCTGCAGTGGGGAGGGGACAGTGAAATGTTGGCAGCCTGTTTTTTGACATTTTTTCTGGATTCTGTAAATAATTTGGAAACTACAGTGGAGGTGTGAGAAATTCTGTTGATATATAGCAGCAGAGATCAAACAAAGTGTACAGTCACCATGTGCTTTACTGCTTATCATAGATCCATACTTGTAAACACTGCCATCTACTGGCTGAATACCACTGTATATATTCCAACAATGAATTCTAATAGGAGGGGGAAAATTGAGGATCCCTTTCAGAATCTGCAGAGAAGGGTCAAAAACATTGTTGGGACATGTGCGTGTGTGCTGGCTGTGGCCGCCATCTTGACTTTTTTGATCTTCTCCCTGTGGACACAGTTTTATAAGCTTTCCCTTTTCAGTCTCTACATAAGCAACCTTTAGGTTGCCAATACATAAAAATTAGACGTTTCAGCCGCTGTTTGTGTGTGAATGTGGCTGGGTGTTTGTGTGGATGTGTCATCAAAATGCTAGCTGGGATAAACATATGGGCAACATCTGAATGAAGTTATCTTGGCTCAGAAACTACCCTAAATGCCAGCGTATAAGACGACTTCCGCGAGCGCTGAAATCAGCGCCAAAGACGGGGGTCGTCTTATACGCCGAGTCATCTTATACGCCGGAAATACTGGTAGTTTCCGGCGTATAAGACGACGTTCTAGGAATGCGGCCCGGCTATGAAGACGGGGGTCGTCTTATATGCCGGGTCGCCTTGTACGCCGGCATTTACGGTAAACCTCTGGTTTCCAAATGACTTTAAACCACCTGCTAGATTGGGAGATTTTGGAGGTAGTCCTCAAATTATGACCACAACGGGCCTCAGAACTTTGGTCACGAAGGGAGTCGTGCCTGATTTTATGATCTTTAGTAAGGTCACCAAAGTCGTAAACCATAACGTTGTCCTTAAGTGAGCCCTGTCCAATTTTACAACCTTTTTGCTGCAGTGGCCGTTAAGTGGATCCAGAGTCCCCCGTTGACTCTGCTTGTTAGAAGCCCCCCGGGAACGTCTCAGGTAGGAAACTGGCGATGCCAGGATGCTGCAACCATCTTGAATAGATGCTGGCTGCCCGTCACAGGATTGCCGGGATGCTGTGCAGGTCATAAGTGCGAGGACTGGTTGCAAGTTACTTTTCTCAGGACTGTCACAACTTTGTTAATGGTCTAAATTGGGGCCTGTTTGTATTCTTGCCAAAGAAGACAGCACAACCTTGACTTCACCTTCATTAATTAAGATCGCATTATTCAAAGCGATAGGACAGTGATGGCGAACCTTTTAGAGACCGAGTGCCCAAACTGCAATCCAAAACCCATTTATGCATCGTCGGGTGCCGGATGGGCGTGGCCCATTGGGTGGGCGTGGCTGCAGTGGTAACGGCAGACTGGGTGGGACTAAAAAGTTCAATCAATCAATTCCAACTTTGCGAGACCTTTTTTTTCCCCGCGAGAAGTTGAAATTGACTGATTGAACCTTTTTTTTTTTTTTTGCACACGGCAGTGGAGGCCTAAAACGAAAAGGTTTTATAAAACCCAGCTGAAGGCCTAGGACTGGGACAATGGCACGGGTGCCCACAGAGACAGCTCTGAGTGCCGCCTATGGCACCTGTGCCATAGGTTCGCCACCACTGTGATAGGTGTTCAGAGAGTGCTCAACTTACAAAGACTTTGTTTAGTGACTGTTCCAAGTTACAACGCCACTGAAAAAAGTGATTCGTGACCGTTGCAGCAGCCCCCACAGTCACGTGATCCAAATTCAGACGCTTGGCAACTGACTCGTATTTATGACGGTCGCAGTGTCCTGGGGTCACGTGATCCCCTTTTGCGAACTTCCGACGAGGAAAGTCAATAGGGAAGCTGGATTCACTTAACCACCGTGTTGCTACCTTAACAACTGCAGATATTCCCTTAACGACTGTGGCAAGAAAGGTCGTAAAACAGGGCAAAACTCGCTTAAAATGTCTCATTTAGTGACAGAAACCTGGGCTCCATTGTGCTTGTAAGTGGAAGACTACCATCTAGGTCAGGGGTAGGCAACTGAGGCTCTTTTATGGACTTCAACTCCCAGAATTCCTAAGCCAGCATGGCTCAGTTTGGAAACCTCTCCCTTTCCCCTCAGCATGGCTGGCTCCGGAATTCTGGGAGTTGAAGTCCACGAGTCATAAAAGAGCCAAAGTTTCCCTCATGCTGGCTCAGGAATTCTGGGAGTTGAAGTCCATGTGTCATAAAAGAGCCAAGGTTGCCTACCCGATTCTAGGCTGTAGTGTCTGCACAAAGAAGGGCAGGGATACCCCAACATGGTGGACACAGGTGCCCCAACACAACTCCGCCTTTTTTTGGAACATGCATCGGGACACCCCCCACACACACACATGTCAGAGAAAAGCATGACAACATTGCAAAGAAAATCTCGTTTTCCGATTGCGATCCAAAGGTGGGCTTTTAACTGACCACCCTGGAAATGGGTTGTGAAAAAAATGCCGTGTGTGAAAACACGCCAGAGACAGGCAGGCCCATGCAACACAGTGGACACGTGTGCAACAAAAGGAACAACAACAGTGAAAGATAGAAAAGTGAGAAAAGGAAGGAGGGAGGGAGGGAGGGAGGAGGAACCACAGGATGGGAAGAAACAATTATGTAGAATCTCTAAAAAAAATATAAATAAATTTTGTGTCTATTTTTTCAAAAGTTTGAGGGGCTCCTGAGGCCTTGCCTTTCATTCCTGTCAAATTCACCCCTCTAGTTTTTTTTTAAGCCCCAAGTTGAAATGACCACAATTGGCTTTCTAAGATTAAAAAAAAAAAAACTTTTGGATTTCGTATATTTCTGAAACGCAGGCAGTCCTCGACTTACAACGGTTCGCTTAGTGACCGTTCAAAGTGATAACGGCACTGAAAAAAAGGGTCTTTTGTGACCCCTTTTCATGCTTACGAAGCATCCCCAGGGTCAGGTGATCAAAACTCAGAAGCTTGGCAACCGACTCATACTTATGACGGTTCTGACAAGCAAAATCAATCGTAACAATTCACTTAACAACTGTGGCAAGAAAGGTCGTCCAATGGGGCAAAATTCACTTTCCAAATGTCTCACTTAGCAGCTGAAAATTGGGGCTCAGTTGTGGACATATGTCAAGAGCTACCTGAATAGGAAAAAAATGATTTAAAAGCTGTAGGTTGCAGCGGTCCAATAAATATAACTAGTGATGACTTCTTCGTTCGAAAAGAAAACATTTTCTTTGAAAAGCAAATTGTGATTCTTGAAATTGGTTTAGGACAGTGTTTCTCAGCCTCCGCAGCTTTAAGATATGTGGACTTCAACTCCCAGAATCCCCCAGCCAGCATGCTATAAGATGCATGGACTTCAACTCCCAGAATCCCCCAGCCAGCATGCTTTAAGATGGGTGGACTTTCACTCCCAGAATCCCCCAGCCAGCATGCTTTAAGATGAGTGGACATCGACTCCCAGAATCCCCCAGCCAGCATGCTTTAAGATGGGTGGACATCGACTCCCGGAATCCCCCATCCAGCATGCTTTAAGATGGGTGGACTTCGACTCCCAGAATCCCCCAGCCAGCATGCTTTAAGATGGATGGACCTCGACTCCCAGAATCCCCTAGCCAGCATGCTTTAAGATGGGTGGACTTCGACTCATCCAGTTTTGCCTGCTGCTGGCTATCTCCACCAGCCCAATAGGGGTGGCTCCATCCCGTGTGGACTTCAGTTCCCAGAATTCCCCAGCCCACATGGCTGGCTGGGGAATTCTAGGAGTTGAAGTCCACGCATCTTAAAGTTGCGGAGGTTGAGAAAATCTGATCTAAAGAAAGTCCATCTGCTCTTCTATCAATCGGGCACCTTTCTGCGGCCAGAGAGAGCCATACCTGTTGAGTACCTGCCTGCCAAACTGCAGCTTCTGTGTACTAAATAAGCTCTACCAGCATCCTGGGATGCTCAAAAAAAAAAAAAAAAGATCAAAAGAATCGTAGCAAAGCAGAAGATGGAGTAAAGGGAGAGGTTTTGATGGAGGAAGGACAGGCTGAAAACAAACAGGGAAGGTTGAAATCAAGACATCACCTTCTGGATCTAGGGGTTCTTCCGTCCCCGTAAGTTGTCCTACCGGCGGTGGCCAGGGCAATACTTTATTCTCCTTTATGTCTACTGCAAGGGGAAAGGATGTTATGAAGATGAGGTGGGGAGTTTGTAGAGAGAGGGATGAAAGAGCATGAAAAGGAGGGAGGGAGAAGATGATGGGAGGGATGGGAGGAAGAAGACAAAAACGGCATGATAAAAAAGAAATGGTTGAACCAGACAGACAGATAGACAGACATGGGAAGGCTAGGTGGAAGTCCCCTACTACAAGCTTACTAAGTCCCTTGAGTGGGGATGGGCATGGCTGGATCGAAACTTTATCCTCCCCAACAACGCGTTGCTGGCGGAAAGAGGAGATCCAACATTTTGAGGCACTTACCTTGCCCATTAGATTCTGGACTGATATGCAATCCAGTGAAACCTCATTTAATGGACTACAGAGCTGTCTATTATTCCCAAATGTCCACTAAACACAAAAGAACATCACACTCATGTGGTGTTGCAACTTGGTATTGATATGAACAACAAAATAACAGAGTTGGAAGAGACCCCCTGCTCAGGCAGGAAACCCATGCCATTCCAGACAAGTGGCTGTCCAGTCTCCTCTTAAAAACCTCCAGTAATGGAGCATTTACAACTTCTTGTGGCAAGCAGTCCCACTGATTAATTGTTCTCACTGTCAGGAAATTCCTCCTTAGTTCTAGCTTGCTTTTCTCCTTGATTAGTTTCCATCCTTTGCTTCTTGTCCTGCCTTCTGGTGCTTTGGAGAATAGCCTGACTGCCTCTTCTTTGTGGCAGCCCCTGAGATACTGGAACACTGCTATCATGTCCCCCCTCGTCCTTCTCTTCGTTAAACTAGACATACCCAATTCCATCAACCTTTCCTTATATGTTTTAGCCTCCAGTCCCCTGATCATCTTTGTTGCTCTTCTCTGCACTCTTTCTAGGGTCGCAACATCTTTTTTGTATCGTGGCGACCAAAACTGGATGCAATATTCTAATAAGTATGGTCTTATTGACTTGGCAGATTATGCAGCACTTAACAGAATAACAAAATAACACAGTTGGAAGGGACCTTGGAGGTCTTCTAGTCCAACCCCCGATTGGCTATCCAATCTCTTACCCCCCCCCCGAGATCGTGGACGCTCCATCACTGGAGATTTTCAAGAAGAGACTGAATATTCACCTGTCTGAGACGGTATAGGTTTTCCTGCTTGAGCAGGGGGCTGGACTAGAAGACCTCCGAGGTCCCTTCCAGCTCTATTCTATTCTTACTCTTAAAAACTTCCAGTGTTGGAGCATTCACCGGTTCTGCAGGCAGATTATTCCACTGACTAATTGTTCTCAATATCAGGAAATTTCTCCTTAGTTCTAGGTTGCTTCTCTTCTTGGTTAGTTTTCATCCATTGCTTCTTGTCCTGCTTTCAGGTGCTTTGGAGAAGAGCTTGACTGCCTCTTCTTTGGGGCAGCCCCTGAGATACTGGAACACTGCTATCATGTCCCCCCTTGTCCTTCTCTTCATTAAACTAGACATACCCACTTCCAGCAACCGTTCTTCATATGTTTTAGCCTCCAGTCCCCTGATCCTCTTTGTTGCTCTTCTCTGTACTCTTTCTAGAGTCTTCACGACTTTTTTACATCGTGGTGACCAAAACTATGTGATGGTTGCTTAAGACAGCCCTTCCCAAACCTCGATAGATTTTTCAAAATTGGATATAAATTTATTGGGATAAGCTACTCACAAGCCCACCACCCAATCACAACAGGGACCTTTAAATGGACTTAAAGTGTTTTACCCTATACAGGAAGTCTGAAATTAAAATCTGCATTTCTGTTGTTAAGCACCCAACTCTTATTAGATAGTTTTCTTTGGCCTGCAAATAGTCTTTTGACTTACGACCAAAATGTCCGTTGCTAAGCAAGACACAGGTGTTAAGTTGCCCCATTTTTTGACGTGCCTTGGCATAATTGTTAAGTTCTTAAGTTAGTTACATAGAGTTATTAAGCGAACCTGGCTTCCCCTGTTGACTTTCTTTGTCCGCAGGTCGCAAAAGATGATCACATGCAACCGTCATAAATATGAGTCAGTTGCCCAAGTGTCCGAATTTTGGTCACGTGACCCTGGGGATGCTACAACGGTCGTAAGTGTGAAAAGCAGTCATAATTCACTTACTTTCAATGCAGTTTGTAAGTTCAAACAGTCACTAAATCAGGGGTCTTTCAACTTGGCTCTTTTATGACTTGTGGACTTCAACTCCCAGAATTCCTGAGCCAGCTATGCTGAGGGGAAAGGGAGAGGTTTCCAAGCTGAGCCAGGCTGGCTCAGGAATTCTGGGAGTTGAAGTCCATCAGTCCTAAAAGAGCCAAGGTTGCCTACCCCTGATCTAGATCTGTCTGTCTGTCTGTCTGTCTGTCTGTCTGTCTATCTATCTATCTATCTATCTATCTATCTATCTATCTATCTATCTATCTATCTATCTATCTATCTATCTATCTATCATCTAGGTCAGGGATAGGCAACCTTGGCTCTTTTATGACTCGTGGACTTCAACTCCCAGAATCCCTCAGCCAGCATGGCTCAGCTTGGAAACCTCTCCCTTTCCCTTCAGCATGGCTGGCTCAGGAATTCTGGGAGTTGAAGTCCACGAGTCATGAAAGAGCCAAGGTGGCCTACCCCTAGATCTAGGTTGGTCGGTCAGTCTGTCTTTCTGTCTATCTATCTATCTATCTATCTATCTATCTATCTATCTATCTATCTATCTATCTATCTATCTATCTATCATCTAGGTCAGGGATAAGCAACCATGGCTCTTTTATGACTCATGGACTTCAACTCCCAGAATTTCTGAGCCAGCCTGGCTCAGCTTGGAAACCTCTCCCTGTCTCCTCAGCATGGCTGGCTGAGGAATTCTGGGAGTTGAAGTCCACAAGTCATAAAAGGGCCAAGTTTGAAGACCCCTGCACTAAATGAATGGCTGTAAGTTGGGAATTACCTGTTCCTTGGTTGTGGGTAATGAATGAAAACGTTTTGGAAACAGCGGCTTAAGGACAATTGTGATGCCAAAGGCATAAAACCTTCATGCATGTTGTAAAGTTACTCTCAATTTAATCAGCTCCCCCAAACTACTTTAAATGGGTGGTGGTTTGTTCAGAGGCTAAGAAAGATTTAGGAGCAGATGTGGAATCACAGCCTGTTTGGGAAAACGGCAGATTCTCTGAATTAATTGGAGAAAAGAACTGCCAGCCTGCCAATTATTGTAACTACGAAGCCACTAGAAAAAAGCTCAGAAAAACCTGCACTTTATTGAAGCTAAAGGTAAAGTGGCTTCTAGCAGGAACCTCATCCTGTTGCTGAGATTTCCCCCCCTCTGGCTCTTCATAAATCTTGTTAAAAAGGACTTATTGGGAATTTACTCGGTGTTGAACCAACAAGATGCAAAGGGATTGCATTATTTCAGAAGAAAATCTGGAGCAGGAATGTCCAGCCTTGGCGACTTGAAGACTTATAGTCTTCAACTCCCAGAATTTCCCAGCCAGCATGTCATACATCCCAATTTTGTGGTCCATCACTAAGCGACAGGTCATAAGTCAAGGACTGTCTGTATAGGTAAAATTATTCCTTTATAAATTGTTCCCAGAAAGGTATTCATGTTGAAGAGATTCTAGAAATATTTCAGAGAAGAGCAACGAAGATGATTAGGGGATTGGAAGCTAAACTGAGGAACAATTGCAGGATTTGGGTCTGTCTAGTTTAATGAAAAGAAGGACCAGGGGTGACATGAGAGCAGTCTTCCAATATCTCAGGGCTGCCCCAAAGAAGAGGGGGTCAACGTATTCCAAAGCGCCTGAAGGCAGGACAAGAAGCAACAGATGGAAACTAACCAAGGACAGAAGCAACCTAGAACTAAGGAGAAATTTCCTGACAGTTAGAACAATTAACCAGTGGAACTACCTGCCTCCAGAAGTTGTGAATGCTCCAACACTGGAAGTTCTTAAGAAGAGACTGGACAGCCATTTGTCTAAAACGGTATAGAGTTTCTTGCCTGAGCAGGGGGTTGGACTAGAAGACCTCCAAGGTGCCTTTCTATTCTATTCTATTCTATTCTATTCTATTCTATTCTATTCTATTCTATTCTATTCTATTCTATTCTATTCTATTCTTCCATTCCCTATTCTATTCTATTCTATTCTATTCTATTTATTTATTTATGAGACTTATATACCGCTTTAAGTGCAAGCACTCTCTAAGCGGTGTACACCAGTAAGCAATGTATATATATATATTTACATTGCCCCCAACAATCTGGGTCCTCATTTTACCTACCTCGGAAGGATGGAAGGCTGAGTCAACCTTGAGCCGGTGAGATTTGAACCGCTGACCTGCTGAACACAGTCAGCTAAAGTGGCCTGCAGTACTGCTATTCTATTCTATTCTATTCTATTCTATTCTATTCTATTCTATTTATTCTATTCTATTCTATTCTATTCTATTCTATTCTATTCTATTCTATTCTATTCTATTCTATTCTATTCTATTCTATTCTATTCTTCCATTCCTTATTCTATTCTATTCTATTCTATTCTATTCTATTCTATTCTATTCTATTCTATTCTATTCTATTCTATTCTATTCTTCCATTCCTTATTCTATTCTATTCTATTCTATTCTATTCTATTCTATTCTTCCATTCCTTATTCTATTCTATTCTATTCTATTCTATTCTATTCTATTCTATTCTATTCTATTCTATTCTATTCTATTCTATTCCAAAGCTCTCGAAGGCAGAACAAGAAGCAATGGATGGAAACTAATCAAGGAGAGAACCAACCTAGAATTAAGAAGCAATTTGCTGAACAATTAATCAGTGGAACAACTTGCCTCCAGAAGTTGTGAATGCTCCAATACTGGAAATTTGTAAGAAGAGACTGGACGACCATTTGTCTAAAATGGTACAGGGTTTGCTGCCTGAGCAGGGGGTTGGACTAGATGACCTCCAAGGTCCCTTCCAACTCTGTTATTCTGTCATTTCCAGGAATAAAAGAAAGCAAGGGAGCCCCAGTGACATTGC